CACTAACCCGCTGAACCTTCTCTCCAGCCCGTTTTGAGGTTCTTCTTTCCCCATCTTGGCCTATGTGAGGCCACTAGGGGACAAAACTCTCAGCAGTCTCAAAATCCCCTTTGTCTGGACCCATGGGCACAGCTGAAATCTTTTGAAAGTCCTAAGAGCTCTACAGTTACTTGTGTGAATTAATTTCTGGATTCCGGACTCCCCTAGTTGGAGGACTGGGTCTGTGACCGTTTCATTTTCCAGCTGAGCAAGTCCTGGACTCTCCAGTTAAGTTCTGCATGTAAACTGCACGGTCCCTTCCCAGGCCCTCTCTCCTCCTGAACCGTCTGCAGCAGGGTAAACTGACTGGCACCTCTACTCTTCTGTCTGATGTCTTGACCTTGATCTTGTACAGTCAACGTGTGTGTGTGTGTGTGTGTGTGTGTGTGTGTGTGTGGTGTGTGTGTGCCTGTGTGTGTGTGTGCCTGTGTGTGGTGTGTGCGTGTGTGTGTGTGTGTGTGTGTGTGTGTGCGCGTGTGCGTGTGCGTGTGCGTGTGTGTGTGTGTGTGCCTGTGCGTGTGTGTGTGTGTGTGTGTGTGTGTGTGTGTGTTTGTGTGTGTGTGTGTACGTATTTTCAAGTTACATAGATGACAGATTTGCTGTTTTGGTTCCTCTAGTAGAGTCACTCTTTTTATACCTCCAAAGCTCCTTCGTCTCCTTCCCAGCCTCTACCTCCCAGAGACCCCTTTGAAAGCACTCTAGACCTGCCATCAGTGAGGACAGAGCTAGAAGGGACATGGCCTTACCTCAGGGTCGGCCAGTTTCAGGTATCCTGACACAGCCACACACTGCGGAATGGTGTTTCAGTCAGCCACGGGCCTCAACACCTCTGGTGATGACATTACCTCATCTGGGAATGTCATCTCCGCCATGGTTTGTGCCAGCACAACCCAGCAACACCATTGTCCATGGATGTATTTCTCATATGTCCCCAGGGTTAAGTGATGCATGCCAGTAAGCTAGTAGAGCCAATGGCATCAGTGTGTTAGAAGGTGGGAAGGATTGCCCTCAACAAGTGAGAAGCCTGTGAGAAACTTCATAAAGAGTGCCCGGTCTGGTACCCTAAGAGCATTGCTCAATCCAACACTGTGTAAGGAAAAGCTGGGAGCACAGGATGGACTCATCAAGCTGGCACATCTAGGATACATTCTTGCTAAGACCCTGAGCCCAAACCCAACCAAATCAGAAGGCAAGCTCTGGACACACAGCTGAGTGGCAGGACACAGCCCACAACAAAATGTTGGGACATCTAATGGTCGCAGTACCCAGATGGACAAACACTGCCGGAAGAAGGCGTAGAGACTCTGTGGTGGGTGTGATGGACACCAAGCTTGTTTGTGGCCATGCGTCTTCTCAACATATACACTAAGGACTCAAACCGGAGCACACTGCCTTAAAAGAACCTGCCTGACTTCCTCGGAGTGTGCAGACTTCTCTGGAAGGCGAGAGACGGGTCCTGCGCTCGCTAACCTGGCTCTGTGCCATCTTCTACAGCTCCCTAGTGAAACGTCCAAATCTATCAGGAGATAGAACTCGTGGGTGGAGTTGGCCACCTAGTTCCAGGGCCACGGCAAGAGGGCTGTGCAGTGCCGGGTCAGCGGATGGCAGGACAGGAACAATCTCAATGGACAGCAGGCCCCTGCAGCTGCAATCTCAGAAATCCTCTCTGCAGGACAAAGCCAGGCTCAGTGCTGCAGGATCTGACCGACTGCAGGATCACCAGCATAGGCAGGCCCCTGACTGCAGGGGGCTCGGTAGCCTGGGGGGTCTGCTGGTGGTTGAGCTTCAGACACATCCTCAGGGCCCGGGGATCAGGGTGCTGATGAGCTCCGTCTGCCGTAGAAGAATGTGTCTCCACTGTGAGCAACTTGGACACTCAGGAAGGATGGGGACTAGAGGAAGATTCCTCTATGTATCCCAGATGACAGGAGAGGCAGGAGGCTGTGGACAGATTTCCCTCTATATACAGTCCCTTGGGGTGTGCATGCATGCAGATAGGTTTGTGTAATCATGTATACTTGTGTGCTATACATGTTCTCTCTCACTCTTGAGAATACACACACACACACACACACACACACACACACACACACACAGCTCTGTCTCTCACTCAGGGTCCCAGCAGGGAGAACTGTTCTCTTGCAGATCAAGAGAAGGTATTTAGAAGGAGCATTTACAGGTAAGATGGGACCCCACTGGGCTGTGCTCACCCTTGTGGCAGAAGGGGCAGAGGACACGGAGCTGGTGAGAGCCGCCCTCCGGGAAGCACACTAGCACACCCTCACAATCCCATCACAGACCCTGCACAATTCCCACGACTTAGCACTTCCTGACCTCTGGTCCTCCACAGCTGCCACGGACACACAGCCTACCTAGCTAGTCTCCGCTGGATAAAGGTTTCAGATTCCTCTGCCCATCACCAGGACAAACGGTGGCCTCAGCCTGTCAAGGACATCGTTGCGATTTTCTGGTAAGTACCTGGGTACACATCGCAAGCACTTTCACTGCCACATTCAGAACAAGGGACTTCAGGAAGAGACAGTCCTAGTAAAGGAACCCAGGCTGCCCAGCTGCCCTCAAGATACGAGGCAGGTGACACACCAGTTAGAGGGCTGTGGCTCCCAGACTCCAAGAGTCTTGATAGTAATAGAGGACCTTGGGTGGTCACTGCTGGGTGCCTCCACAGATGTCTGGTATCTGGACCCCTGGGATGAGGGGACTATTCTTCATTCAAGGGTGTACCCTAACGTTTGTGTTTCCCTGTCTGTGTCCCCAGTCTTGGAATCCATGTCACACCCGATTTCCTCAGTCAAAATGCAGACGCTCTGCCCCTCCACTGAAAATACCCTAAGTTAGTCCCAGAAGGGAAACTGAGGCATGAGAGGTGGTAAGCCAGCAAGGATGAGGCAAGGTCATGGAGACGTGGCAAGGAAGGTGGCCCAGAAGTCAAGGCCTGTCCCGGTACGTTTGCCCCTCCATATCTGGGGTCCCTTTCATTCAGACCGCATGGCTCTAGGATTGAGTTCCAGCTCTGACGACACTGGAGGCTGCAGTGTGTGTGCTAAAGCCCACCTGAGACCAGGGGCGCACAGGCTGGCTCAGGCAATGTCGCACAGCACAAACTCAGTTGCTATGTAATTAACTCGGAATGTAATGAGCAATAAAAATACAATTATACTCCTGTAATACATTAAGCCTCCGTGCTTTCTTAAACCACTTAAAAGACCTCGTGCTCATTGCCGAGACGGGCACAGGAGTGGGGTGGGGCTTCACAAGGGCTCTCAGACACGTTCTCTATCCAAGAGACCATGGAGGACGTGGCTGGCACTCATAGACTGCTTTGGGGACTCATCAGAAGGCTTCACCTGCAGGAGGGTTGGCTTCCTAGGAGTCTGGGGCCAACTCCAAGAGAATCCCTCATGAGATGAAGTGGCAAGAGCTAGGGACATAGCATAGGCACAGCCACTGGGGACTCACAAGCTCACCCACTCACATGTGCACAAATATTCACAAGAACACTAGCTACTCAGCCACATGGTGTCATGGCTGGGTCTGTACAGGATTGGAGAATAAACAAGATGAGCCACTCTGCTGTGGAAAGAGCCAGGTTGAAAACGACGCTGCACTGCCAAGAGGTGAACTTGGAAACACAGGTGCCCTCAGGGTCACATGGTACGGCATTCATTCACACAAATGAAGTCCTGGAAAGAGGAGTCCTTGGGGCCAGGAGTGGTTGGTGACTGCCAGAGGCAGGACAGGGCTGGAAGTGACGACTGTTCTGGGTGATCAAAGAGACATGAACTTTTGTATGATGATAGCTGCCCACGTCTGTGATCATGAACTTTCCAAGGCAGTGTGTGCCATGGAGACCTTGCCTGGTGAAGCCATCTACAAAATGCCTGAGGTTGTGACCCGCAGGGAGCTACCTGCTGGTCCACTTGAGCCAACCTTCACCTGCCAGGCAGCTCTGGGCCCGTGGCCTGTCTCCAGGCAGCTCTGGGCCCGTGGCCTGTCTCCCCATCTTGCCCACACTCCTTATCACCAAACTTATGAGAGGGGGCACAGGTCTCTGATCCTCCTTGCCAAGCGTCAGTTTCCCCATCCAGGAATGGAGGCACCCACAGTCCTACAGGCTGGTTGTTCATAGTGAGGGTTCTGCAGTGGTATCTTGCTTGGACAAATAAAGCCTGTCTGGAGTTCAGAGAATGGAGCTTGCCGCTAGCTGACCATAGAGGTCAGGCGGTCTGTAATGAAGAGCTCTCAATACTTTACACCAGCCTACTGTGCCATGGTGTCATAAGACATTTGTGTATCATCACAAGGGCAAGAACCACATACCATTACTCCTTACCTGTCCCCAAAATTAGTTCAGGCCACTGGCTTGACCCCCAATTCCTCTGACAAGCTCTCCTGCCTCCTAATGAGGCACTAGGGAAATGCCATCGACAGGTCAGCAGAGAAGGTGAAAGCCCAGACCGGGGTTGAGAGGGGGGTGCGCCCAACAGGGGTGCACAGAACGTTGGCTGGCTGAGAGGTCTCCGGGAAGACAGAGCCTGCGATCTATGTGCTGATGCCATGAGACATGATATTGATGAATACACACTAGAAAGCCCCGTCCACAAGGTCATTGTTACAGGAGTGTTGTGCCGTGTGGATTTATCACTGTGTGCAGACAGGATTTTAATTACCACACTTTAAGAGGTGTCATTATCTCTACCACAAGCTCTGCAAAAATACGGAAGCCCATTGACAGGCCTGATGGTGTGGACCCCTGGGACCAGAAACCTCATGCACCAACAGGTCTCCTGCCTGCCCAGGCTGCCTGGGGCCTTCCAGACCCTGCACGGAAGGAGCTAGGAAAGGCTTCTGTTTGTATGCTCAGAGCAGTGGAGGGCTCAGCGGGACCCTGCCTGTGACCCAGGGAGCCCCTCTGCGTCATGGAGGCTGAGCTTACCCTCTCCTGCCCTCTGCCAAATCGCCTCATAGACCACAATCTTCCCTCCGTGCTTCATCAGCGGAGTCTGGGGAGTTCTGCAGCTCTGCCCTCCCTTCTCTGAACACACCCTCCTGCCCAGGGACTTGTCTCCCATGCTCCGGGGCCTCTGCTGCTAAGGTTGTAGCTGCTGGCTGGGTTGTGATGGCCTGGGAACCTGTGGGAGGCTGAGGAAGTGTGGGGGTGGGGGCTGGGGACTGCCACTGAGGAGACTAGATTGCCATCTCTCCACCCTTCCCCTGTGACAGCAGGTGCAGGCAGGTTGACCTCCACAGGACTGGCCTTCAGATGGTTCTTTTTTTCATATCATTTTATTTGCAATTAAAGATCATCCTTGACAAACGTCCCCTGTTAAAAAAAAAAAAAAAAGCCTTCACTAATTTAAAATCCTTTTTTTTTTCCCTCCATGAACTTTAAAGTTCGAGAGCCTGATGAGTTCTGAAAGACACAGGCTGCTCATGCGGGAGGGGACCAAGGTGGGAATGGGGCTGAGCTCTGAGAGCTCAGCTCTCAGAGATGTTTTCTTCACTCCCTGCCCAGAACTGCCTGCCAGTTCCACACACAGGTTTCCCTCGCCCAGGCCATCTCTGGGGAAAGATCTGAGACCCTCCCTCCCTCCCTCACCTGACAGCCTTCTGTGTGGCCAGCTTAGGAAAAGCAGGAGTGGCAGCTCTTTCCAAGGGACATCAAAGACACAGAGAGGGTTACAGGCAGCTCCTGAGTTGGCCCCGCTCTGCCTTCTGACCCTGGAGGAGGAGCAAGAACGAGAAAGGAAGGTATTTTGTCACTTTCTTCTGGTTCACCCTGTCACCCGAAGTGGCCACTCCACAGGACAGCAGCATGCAGAGGTGGAATATTTCCTACCTGAGTGCCAAAGGAGCTGGGATTCATGTGCAACCTACCCCTGGGCTCTGTTTACAGACCTTGTGGTCCACACAGACCCTGTGTTTCACACACAGGATATGGGCTCCACATACAGGCCCCGGGATTTGTACACAGGTCCCAGGTTCTAAACAGTTCTATGTTCCACACACAGGTCCCGGGTGCCACACAGGGCTCTGGGTTCTCCTCACAGGTCCTGGTTTTGCGCATGGCCCTGAGTTCTGAACATAGCCCCTGGACACTGCCCTAGCAGGTTTGTCTTTGCTGTGATGCAGTTTGAGGGATGCATTTTAGCTTAGATGTTATATTCCGTCATAGAGGGAAGTCAAGGCAGGAACTCGAGGCAGGATCATGAAGCAAAAACCAATGGAGGAACCCTGCTTCTGGCTTGCTTCTAAACTCACCTCTCTTATCCAGCCCAGGCCCACCCGCCTAGGGATGGCACCACCCACAGTGGGCTGTGCCCTTCTGAAGCTTGGTGCTGTGGGCACATGGAGCTCTACCTATACAGAAAAAAAGGGTCAGCTTCCTGGAGTCCCCTGGGGAAGGTGTCTACCCCAGCTGACCTTTCCCCAAGCCTGAACCCAGAACAGAGTCCTAAGCAGCAGCCACCAGCCTACCATGTTCCATCATGAAAGGAGCCCAAGTCCCCGAGAGAGGGACACGGCCCTCGGGAGGCCAAGGATGCCACTCAGATTGGAGAGATGTTCACAGAGTGTCTTGTACATCGGGGAAAGAAAACTACCATGCGGCATCCGGATCTTGGCCTGCTCCTTAGCCGAATACCAACTTACCCAGAGGCCCTGGCACTGCGCTGGCATCCCTTGGAATGCACGCTCGCTTGGCATCCTGGGAAACTGACTCAGCCAAGCATTTGTCACAGCAACCTTAGCCAGCAGGGCTGACAGCAGCAGGGGAGGAGCACCAGGTCCTGGAGCGGTAAGATGGGGTGGAAGAGGCGTGCCCAAGCTCAGTGCTGGGGAAGCCATGGATGCTTCTAAAGGTGTTCAGGAGCAGGAAGCACCGGTTGCCTCTTGCGGCTGCACGGGCTTCTGACCTACAAGCCAGGAATGAGCCCATACAAACTAGAGAAACAAAAGGGGCCCGGATCCCAGCCCAGAGAGTGTCAGTGCCGTGTGTGATGGCTCAGCCCTGCAGCCTCTGCCACATTCCGATCTACCACAGGCCACCACAGACAGCGGGGGAGTTCAGTAGGCATCTCCCTAAGCAGAAAGAGAACGGGACAGAGAGAGATGCAGGTGAGCTGACAAGGGACCAAGCCATCTCTGCTCTGGCCTTGGTTTCATAGCTGTACATTTCAGATCGAAGAGGGACCCAGGAGAGCCCAGGGCCCCACTCACCCAGCCCCCACCCAGCCCCGCATGCACCCAAAGGGGACTCTGTGTCTCAGCTGCAGAGCACCAAGAGGGGAGCCGGGGATGCTCTGAGCTCCATGGCTGCTCGTGTCCTTCCTTGTGTGCCTCTGCTCCCATCAGGAAGGTGCTCCAGCAATGCTCATCACAGCCCTGGCAGGGGGCAGAGCCCAAGAGCAGGGGTACAGTAGAACGGCTCCAACTCCCCAGCACTCGGGGCCCTGCAAAAAGCTCCCTGTGGGTTCTGAATCCTGGAGTCCAAACACATGGATTCCACATCCAGAGCCCTGGCATCACATGCAGCCAGGGCCTTCTTCCCACGTCGTCTCCCCCGCTCTAGAGGATGAAATGATGGCCAGCCTGTCTTCCATGACTGCCGTGATGTCCTGTGGCTGGCAAATCGACAGTCAGAAGCGAGTCCTGAAGCTGTAAGTCCACAGCAGAAGAGCATGCCCAGTGAGTCAAGCACTGACCCCTGGGGAGCTAGAGCAGGGGTTATCCTAATCTGTGTTCTGTCAGGAGCCCACAAGAGAAAACCAGACACCAGCATGTCTCTATGAGGTGATACGTCCCTGTCTCCCTGGCGATCAAATGTGGTGTGAGCTTTGGAGGACTTTCAGCTACAGTGTGCCTTGAGAGTATTTCCTATCTCAGCTCAGATGTCTACAGAGCCCCTGCTTCCCTCTCTTCGTGGACCCCTTACAAGTGAGGCATCTGGGGTGTACAGAATGTTTGTTGATTTATTTGCCCAGGGTCACACAGCATGCAAAAGCAAGGCCCGAACACTCTCCAGCCTGACTCCACCTCTCCATTCCCAATGCCCCCCGCCCCACGCTGTCTGCATGACCCCACAGCTGAACAGGGGACACCGGTGCATCCCACAGTCCCACAGATGCTGGAGCATCTCACTTTTCACCATTAAAACTTGTTCCTGATGGGACATAGCAAGCGCTTTAGCTTGTCCTGTTGTCGGCTTGCTCCTTTGAGAAACCTTAAAATGCTAGGATTCCTCCTGCCACCGTGCCAGATGGGGCCCTTGACCAAACCATGAAGTCCCTTTAATTATCAGAAGCCGACAGCTTCATGTCCTGGGGATCTTCCTCAAGCACTCTGTCTCCTCTGTAACATCGCCCATGGGTGACAGGGTCCAGGAGTGGCTGCTGGAATCCATCCCCCTGTCCCAGAGGGAAGGCAAGGGACTCAGCCCTGCCATACAGCCTCCTGGCCCCTGTGCCTATCAGAATTAGCTGGATTTCTAGCCAAAAGAAAGCACTCAGAAAAGTGGGGGACAGAGGGACTTGCTGGCCACTGTGCCACAGGCTTGTTCTCTCTACAGCTCCCTGCCCCCACTCCGGTCAGCTGTCATTACCTGGACATCTCTACTGCTGGGCCCCTACGTCTCCTCTAACCTTGAGGCTATGGGGGCTGCCTTCTTTACCAGCCTGTGGTGGCGGCAGCTCCCTGCCACTGGGCAGGTGGAAAGAGGGGGTCAGGGGAGCAGAGGGTAAATCAACCAACTATGTGTCTCTACAACGCAAGGTTGTCCTTGTAAATCACCAAGGCCAGGGCAAGGCTGGGCCTGGGCAGTGGGCTCTTGGATGGACACCATTGCCCCTCACTGGAACGGAACAGCTTGCCAAGCTAGCCCCACCTCTGCTCTCCCCCTCTTCTCCCTTCCTCTTCCTTCTGCTCTAGGAAGAGCAAGGAGCAGGCCTGACAGGAACAGGAAGGGGAATCCCCAAGGGGATAGGAGTCCAGACATGGCCGGTGTCCTGCTGTGCAGCAGCAGACAGGGTTCACTCTTGAGGATTCACTGGGTGTAAACGTGTCCAAGGCTGCCCGAAGGAGACTGGGGTCCTTCTTTGGCTCATGGGCAACTTGAACACATCCTAGTCTTCACCCATATAGGAGCTCCTCCCCTGTCCCACTCCAAACACCGCCGCCCAGCAAAGCCATCCAGGGTCGGGCCCAGAGTCCCACAGAAGCTTCCTGTGGTCTCAGCCCTGCCATGACCCTCTGGGCCTCAGGCATCTTAACACTCAGGGCAAATTAAGGGTGATTAGGCCATCCCATAATTCCAAAGTGGCCACACTGTGGTCAAAGGTGTAGGGCAGCCCTGATGACTCGTGGCCAGATGCTCCCATGAGAAGCACTGCAAACTGCCACTTGAGGCAGAGTTTTAACTTTCACGGAACATTCTCCCCACAGCGGGTGTGCCCTGTCCTCAGGTGGACAAGGCTTGTGGCAGGGGACAGGTTCTATGCTGTAAGTCACCTTGATTGATTTCAGATTCCCATTTGGAGAGGGTCTCTGGCAGAGAGATGAGACACAGCCTCCGTCTAGTGCAAAGCGCGGAGTTGGGGAAGACAGCTCACCATGTAAAGTGCCTGGGGCACAGACACAAGGACCTAAGCTTGAACGATAGCACCCACATAAAATCCCTGACACAGCAGCACACAGCTGCAATCCCAGTGCCAGGGAGGCAGAGACAGGAGGCTGGGGGCGGGGGCGGGGGGGGGCACTTCCCAGACAAACAGCCCGGCTGAGTCAGCAAGTTCCAGGTGTGGTAAGAGACCTTGTCTCAAAAAGTAAGCTGGAGAGCAATTGGAGATGATGTCCAATACCAACCTCTGACCTCCACATCAATTTTCAGTTACAGTGTTTTATCACAGTAGTAAAAATAAATAACACACACACACACACACACACACACACACACACACACACACACACACACACACACACACACCAGTGTGAAGCTCTTAGCTCTGACCCAGCACTGGGTCCCAGGGCAGAGACAGAGCTTCATCCAAGTGGATGTGGGTCCATGGGGCCGGGCCAGGTGTTTGAGCCCCCTGCTGGCTCTGCACTCACTCAGAGACTTCCCTAAGCCCCTTTGTCTGCAGCCACCCTCCTCAGAGGCACAGAGTGTGTTTTTTTTTTTTTTCAATTTGCTTTGCAAATAACAACGAATTAAAAACCATATATATCTATTTTTAAAAACCTTGTCTTTTGCTTCCATAATTAAATTTCCACAAGATATTTTTCCCTAGGAAAATTCAATTAGGTTTTAATTTTAGTCATCTAAAAAGCACTGGTGCTCTGAGTATTTGATTTTTAATTTAAGCCCTTGATAGGGCATTCCAATTAAAACCCTCAGGCGGGCGCTGTAGCATGACCAAGACATTGTAGGGCAGGCAGACCCCAGTGACCAGACAAGTTGGGGCAGATAACATCTGAGCAAGTCTGAACAGCCAGATGGCAAGTTGGACACACTGGCCACGCATTTGGTCCCTTTGCCTGAGTGACCCCCACAAACGCTCTGCTGTAGCTAAGAGGCATTAAAATGCCAGCTAAGGGGTCTGAGCCAATGTTTGCTATTCTATCTATCTACCTATCATCTATCTATCCTCTTTTCTGATATGTGTGTATGAGAGAGAGAGAGAGAGAGAGAGAGAGAGAGAGAGAGAGAGAAGTGTCAATGACTGTCTTTATATCCCATCCCTTTGTGCTCTGGGGCGGGGTTCACAGCTTCAACCCTTCTGATCCCAATGGTCAGACACAGAGGAAGAAGACTGTCCTAGGCCTGTGTGGGACTCTGTCTCCTGGTCTCAGGGACCTCAGCAAGTGGCATCAGGACCCTGGGTGCTCCACTTCTCCCCTTTATCTCCCAGCACAGCACCTCCTTGGGGTGGTCCTGGTGTGCCTGGTAAACATGTCTGGGACTCAGCTCTAGATGGTCACCCGACACATCTCATCTGGGACAAAGCTGGGACAGTCCTTCATCTCCAAAGAGGTGGAGATGGGTGGATCTAAGACTGGACGGAGCCCGACCTGGGAAGGAGCAGGTTGGGGGGTGGGTCAAGGCTGAGCCCCTGCTGCAGGAAAAGTGGGGAGAGGACTGACCTAGAGAGGAGGACACGCCCAGCCTCAGGGTCCCCAACGCCATTCCTCTGCTGTGCTATAGAAAAGAGCTTTGTCTTGACCTGTGAGCACACTGTCTTCTCTGACCAGAGTCCCAGTGACTTGCTCTTTCTTTCCCTCCAACCTCTCCAGTTAACCCAGTGTCCCATAGGGACCAAGAAAGGAGACAGGGAGAACGGGGCAAAGACGCCAGGGCACAGCTGTCGGGGCCCATAGCAGTGTGTACTCTTTTTGGTTATTTTCATTGCATGTTTTATTACATGATACATGAGTTTCCTAGGAAGTCAGAAGAATAATCCTGAGATCCCACGAGCTCTCTGTCCAGGGAGCACCTCTCTGGCCCCGCCCATCTCCTCTCCTTTAAACCATAACCAGCAGCTGTACCCACCAATCTTTTCCACTCTGTACAGTTAGTTTCAGAAACACAGTGATGGGTGCAGTGCAAACCTTCAGGACTGGCCTTGCACTGCGCTGTATCGCCAGGTTGTCTGGCATGGTACAGGTGCGAGCACTCACGCCTTTTCACTGAGTGACATCAACTCATACAATGAGCCCACTGTGAAGTCAAAAAAGTATCCAGTACCCCTGACCTCACAAACTGCAGGGAAAGGTCAGACTTCAAAGTATGGTCTCTTCTGCACCATTGTAACATCAGATGAAGTACATGGGCCGTCGTCAGCAGGGGACAGTCTATAGTATTCCACGGCATGGAGGGACTGTCATTGGCCTGGCCATTACCCATGAAAGGCATCTACCCTGACAGTCTGTGTCATGGTAAAGCTGCTACCACAGGCCATGTGCACAAATGTGTGTGAACACAGGTTTCTTCACCTACCTGGGATATGTCACAAGGAAGGCAACTGCTGTGTCCTGTGGCAGCTGTGTCATATCAGGGTGTTCTCACACTCTCACAAACCCAGTCCTTGCATCTTCCCAGCATCAAGTGTAGACACTTCTTTACTTGGGCCACCTGATAGGTCAATGGCTTGCATTGCCTAACAGATAGTCTTGGCAAATACCCCTACATCTGTGCACTCCTTGAAGTGAGCTCTCTTTTTGGGGGTGTGCATTTTTCCCCACTCTTATGATAAACTCGTGAGGGAACACTTGGCAGGACCTTAGCAGCAAGGTTAACCAAGGCTGAGGGACAAACATGCCAGGTGGACAGAGCTTAAGTGAGAAGTTTTATTAGAAAGCAGAAGGAGGGGAAAGGAAAGAGAACAGAGGTAAAGCGACACAGAGAGGACAGAAGAGAAGAGAGAGACGGGAAAAGTCCTGTCTGCCCCAGGGGAACAGCAGGAAAGAGAGAGAAGAGAGCATAAGTGGGCAGGGTCTGGGCAGAGTCTTTCTTTTAAATGGGTCCTTTGCACCTGGGCTGAGCAGGGTACTGCCTGGGTGCATTCTGCCAGGTGGCAGGGGCAGACCAACATGATGCCTGAATCTTGACCCCCTCGGCTTGTTTGGCTGGGCGCCTATAACATGTGGAGCAATTTGTATGCACTGCATGCTAGTTCTTCTAAAGATCTGTGGTTCCAAATGCTTTCTCCCACCCTGTAGTTTTCCTCTCATCTTATACCAGGACCTTAAATTCCTAGGAAGTCCAATTTCCCTGTCCCTTTCACGGACCTCTTGGCCAAAGGTTTTATCCTGTTCCCCTCAAAGGGTTTCGTAGTTTTAACTCCACACTTGAGTCAATCATCCGTTCTGAACAAATTTTTGTCTGAGGTGTGGCAGTGGGGTCATGACTTTGGCTTTGGATTTGGTTTGGCTTTGGGTATCCAGTCCACCTGCCCAGTGCCATTCAAGGAGCACCATCTCCTCCCCCGGGTTACTTCCCCCCTTGTTACAAAGGTTACATCTGTGTGCGTGTGTTTCTGAGTTATTTGTTCTCTGCATGTGTCCCCCCCCCCCGTGTGTGTCCTCAGCCAGTCCCACAAAGTGATGGCTGATGAGCTGTCAATGGGGTCCTAAGGTAGAGGACAGTGGCTCCTTTATCTTTCTGTCTCAAAAATCATTTTAGCTCTTCCAGTTCCCAGTCTTTCATACAAATTTTATCATTACCTTGCCTAGCCCCGGCTGCCCTGGAACTCACTGTGTAAACCAGGCTGGCCTTGAGTGCACAGAGATCCGCCTGCCTCCGCCTCCCAAGTGCTGGGATTAAAAGCTTGAGCCCCCCACCCCTGCCGCACCACCACCAGCTAACCACTATGTGATTTTTATCCTTTAACTGTTAACATGGTGGATTGCAAGG